AAGTACGGAGCTTTCCTCGCAAAATAAATCAAGATACATCGGCACAAAAAGAGAGCGGTAGTCCAAAAACTAACTAAGTCTAAGTATCCGTACTTAGTAACGTTTAGCATAAACTTTATCGTCTGGCTGTTGCTTAATCGCCATCGGCTATAGAAGGCTATAAGAAATTGTACAGCCGGCTACAGAAGCTATTGGAATTCTTACAGCCGGCTTTAGGTCTATAGTATTTTGGAACACACATTCTACTGCCAATTTTTACCAGGGAGGGTAATGTGCTATTAAAAAGTAAAAGGAATTAAAGTGAAAACATTCGACAAAGAGCGAAAGTCTTTGAAAAGTACTTTTTATTTATTGCTTGGTAGCTGCACTGAATTCAGTTAGTTCGCAGTCATCCTGTGAACAATACGCCACAATCAAAACGCCTTTGCATATATGCACGAGTCTTTCTGTCCAAAAAAGGCACGTAGCACAGTTCCATCTATGGAGAGATTTGAGTGACCGGGTGATCATGTGTTGGATCCCAGGAATTCCTCTCCGTCGCGACATAACGAAAGACTTAATCGCATTTTTTTATGCACAAAGTTGCCGATTCATTCGAAAAAATACCTCTTTTAGAAGCAAAATTAGCAGTATATCCGATATTTAGGTAACATCTTCATTGTGTTTTCTGAGGTGTTGTTGTGGAAAAAACGAGGTTTGTTTCAATGTCGCTGAAAATCGCGAATACGCTACACTCCGTAACGTTTCCGCAACGGAGGGCTTTTCTTGAGCTTCATCGAGGGTTATTTTGAGACAACCAGTGGCACAATCGTGTTTTTTGCAAAACTTCACAAGCATGTAGCGATTGGAATCGAAATTCCTCTACTCTTCATGGAGCTGCAGTATACGAGAAAAGAATCAAAACTGTCTCCTGTCAGCCGTGCTACGGAAAAACGCCGTATGAACGTTCGAGAGTTGCCAAATTTCCTCCGATGAAATGATCATTTTTGAGGGTATTTATGAACATTTTCTCTTGAAATTTGCATATGATTTAGATCTGACTGCAAATGAAATCATCTGAAAAATTGGAGGAAAAATATTCACAAATTTCTCTGTAAATTCGTATTTTATCAAACGAAATTTTGCAACGTCAAAGGGTTCATACGGCGTTTTCGCTCAGCACGATAGTGGCTCTTCTCCGTTCAAAAGGTTGGTTGCGCATGGCGTGGGCATTGCCTGAGATGAAACCATTACCCAACCCGCAAAAGCCTTTAGCCACCTTATAATGTGACCCTGTTTCGCATGTATCACGATGGTTTTTAGAGCGCATATGCAATGTGAGTTGTGCCCTTTTGTCGGCATACTGGTGAATAATACGAATGACTGCGCTATTTCAGTCAAGCAGAACTAGCCTTTTCACGGAGAAAGTGGCGAATGTGGAGTAATTTCTTCGTGAATGCTGCGGCCGCGCTAACGGTGCGAAATAATAAACCTCGCTCCGAGACGGTGCCCGGCTTTTGAGCGTCGCGTCGCTGGCGCGAACTCAGAACGGACATATTTCTTCCATGTCAGTGACAGAGTGAAGAATTGGTACCACTGGTAGGTCAGTTGGGTATGAAAGAGAATCGTGTTTTAATTGTTCGATCTCGTGATAACACACTGACAAAATAATGTTTCAAACACCTTCTTGTAATTTCTCCAAATCAGAATCCAGAGGGCTTCCCCACTGAAAAAAAAATCTCGGTGTATTTACTACGAAAAGGGTTAAATTACCAAGAAACCAGGGTTCTATTTGATCCGAGTTTTTTCTTGGTAAAATTACCATTTATGGAATTGGTAATTTTACAGAGAAATCTCTGTAAAATTATATCGACTTTCTCGGTAATTTTACTGGACCCTGGTAAAAACGCCTATATTTTTTATCGACTGTGGTAGTACCGAGATAACATGGCGAAGTTACCGGGAATTGATTACCAATAAAAGTGGTATTCTTACCTGAAAAAAAAACAGTAAAAATACCGGTTTTTAGGTAAGCTTTACCAGCCTGTCTTGGTAAAATTACCAATAATTGGTAAACAAGTGAGATGGTAAAGGTACCAACGGACCTTGGTAAAAACGCCGAGAATTTTTTTTCAGTGCCCCAGGTAATTTTCGAAAAATCGAGTCATCTTATGCGCAATTTTGAGCTAATCTCTTCGGAAAATGGATCGAATCATGATTTAAAAGATGTAAAGTCTTACTTGGTAAGATTTTTGCAATTCCTTCCCTTTCAATCTTTGAGAGGGGTCAAGTAAATATCTGGTGGGGGGGCTGCCCTTCCAGACCCCCGATTCCTCTCATTTGTTTAACCACCTCTCAATTGTAAAGTTCCTAGAGTCGTAATGTAAGTGGGAGAGCTGGTGCCATGTTCTGCTCGACGAGTTCCGAGCCCGGTGTGCGGGGTCACTTTTTCGATACATATTCGATCCAAAATGGCGGTGTGGAATATGGCCGAGTCCCCGTGTATCGCAAGCAATCGATCATGTATCGAAAAAGGGACCCGGCGCCGCACAGGAATCTCGGAATTCGGGACCTGGAAAGTGTTTAAAAGTGGCGCCAGCTCTCCCACTTGCATTACGACTCTATGTACTCTATGGTTTCACCATCCAAACACGATTATAAGACGCAAGTTACCGGCTCGTCATGCGGATAGGACCAGAGTACTTCTCTCATCGAAAAGCACCTGCGCCCAAAATCACCGAACCCCCCTCCCCCCCCCAAAAAAAAATAAATACATAATTTCCTCAGTGTTTCGCTTCGCTGCGTTCATCGGTCAACACATTCACTTCCGAATAGCGTATACGTCTGCCTGGGGGATAGTTGCAGACGAACCAGGATAAACTCCTAAAATAACTGTCTATTAATAGCATCCTTTCGAGTCGCTCCTCATCCAGGAGGAAGAGTGTCGACCGTTTTGCCTAAACCGCGGAACTGTAGTGAAAATCCTATACAGATACGTGGTTTCTCCTCGGCACGGCAGTATGTAGGGCTCCTCGGTGTGGTGGAGCGAAAGCTAGCTGGGGTGAGATAGGAATCATGCCGCATGGCCGCATGGAATGGACTTCATACGCTTTGCGGCTCAGCCTTGCGGGCTAGGTTGCTAGAGCTCTTTTGAAATACACTATTTTTGGACCATCACAGGAGAGTGCTTTGTTGAGGAGGAGCACAGGATCGATGAGGAATATGCTCTTGGAGAATATGGACATTACCCTCGTAATCAGCCCGATTACATGTCGTCTCGTGTATCGATTCCATTTTCATTCTCGTTTTTAACTAGGGTTGCAATTATTTGTTGAAATACGATCTTGAAATTTCAGGAAAATATGGAAGGTATTGAAAAATATATTTCGAAATTAAATGAAAATCAAATGGTTTTTGCTTCCAGGTGTTTTTTGGTGCGTGTTGCACACGGAGAAAAATCTATGGCTTTATAAACCAATTAGTGGTTTATACATATGGAACACCGCGAATAGGCGTAATATGAATGAATTAATGATTCTTGGTCTGGGAACCTTACGGTGGTATCTCGTACCATAGTAAGGTATACATATATACAATCATTAAGGTATATGTGTTATTATTGTTGAAGTTGCCTTTACTACTATTAGTAGTGGTCCATATGAACCACTAATTAGTCCGTAGGCCATGTTTTCTTCTCAGTGCATACCCAGCCCCTCAAAATATGTTTCATATTTCCCCCAAATTTGTGAAATTTTATTAAATATTTCAAGGAAATTTCCAATTTTTCATTTGACTTATGAGATCCTGTTAATAACACGTTCAGATCTCAATTTTTGTTTTAATTATTCCAAAATACCCGGTCCCGGGTTCGATTCCCGGCCAGGCGACCCGAATTTGATGGTCTCAAACAATTGTTGCCCGGGACTGGTTGGGAGGACGGGACTTTAGGGCAAGGATTAGCCCTTGTGGGCTATTTTGAAGTAATAAAAAGAAATAAATAAATATAAAAAAAGTGCAACTTTGCTCTTAAAAGCCATGACAACTAATTTTATCTCATCGATTTGATCAATAAGCACGGTAGCTGATCAGTTAAAAACACGTTGATTCTCGACCACTACTTCAGAATCTTCCGCGATCCTGGGATTTTTAAATTTAGGGGTATGATGCGAAGCCCCAACACGGAAACAGAAATGAAGGTGGGGGGCGCACATGATCTCAGAATTGGGTAACAAAAAAGACAATTTCCGTGGTTTTCGGGGGAAGAATGTATCATAATTCCTAACGATATTTTATTACCCATCTTTCGTTTATGTTCACCTATTAACCTTGGCAATCACCCGGCGGAGCGCCTGAGCGCGCGCGGTAAACGAGAAAGTACAAGACTTTGCAGAGTTGCGATACCACCGCGGCTCGAGTTAAATTCCCACGGGGGTCCGGATAATAAATTCCGAATAACGCCTCGGAAATTCATCGGGTGAGTAAAATTTAATTACGTACATCAACAGTTAATTGATTCGTCAAGCCCAAGGTCGAACTGGTATGCGATAAATCGCATCGATTAGGTCAAAAATATCGGCTGATTTTAAATTGTTACAAAAAAAAAGGACGATAGCCCCTGCGCATGAGTCTGAAGAATCATTCTAAACCCAAAAATTTGCAAAATTCAGAGAAATGAAAGCAGAATAGTGTTTGGAAAACAAACTTCGCATTCGATTCAGCTATCGAATGTGAGGTTTTTTCCCAAATACAATCCTGCTTTCTTTTCGCTGAATTTTGCCGATTTTTTTGGCTTAGCATGATTCTTTTGGCTCATGCGCAGGCAAGGGCTATCGTCCTTAGTTTGGCTAAAAATTCAAAATCTGCCGAGATTTTTTACCTAATCGATGTGATATATCACCAGTTTGACCACGTCTCTCGAGCTTGACGAATGTCCTTAAAGGAAATTGAATACCAATTGAAGCAAGTACGTTGAAGAAAGCGATTTGTCCAATGCTGCATTGATATCATTTACTTTTACTTCCTCATCCTGATTCCTGTTGGTAGAGCGCGCTCTGTATTGTAGCACAAAACAGTTTAGTAGATGTCACAAAATTCTAATAGGGGCCACAAGATTTTCCTGCACGAGTCACGAGACTTTCACGTAAGGGTTATGAGAAAAGTCTCTGTAGAGCCCAACAGACTAGTTTTGTATGGGGCACAAGAATTCCCATGACGTAAAAAAATCACCAAGCTTTTCTCGTAGCGGGCGCAAGATTCTCGTACAGCGTAGAGCAAGACTCTTTTTCCAGTGTATGTTGGAAATGTTTGAAAATGGACTATAACCAAGCCTATATGAGAAAAAAAATTAAAATATTAATTACTTTGAACCATTTGGCAGCTATGCGCGACGTGGCGGCCGTGGTCCACGCTCCAAGAAACCGCGGCGAGTCAATGCTCTCGATTTTTATTCCGGCTGGTAAAATACAAATGATCATCTACGTTGCCATATCTCGCTCAGATTGAAATTCACCAGGCAGAAGGAATAGATTTACGAGAGAAGTTCAAGAATCTATACTTCAGACTACGTTGTTTTTCAAAAACTACCCTTGTAAATATGCTACGGGCTGATTATGAGAGTCAAATCAGGTTTGTCAAATGCCACGCAAATGGTCAAATGTTGAAAATTTACCAGGTTTTGCATATTTTGAAGCGGGATTGCTGAAAATTGCAGTGCTGTGAGGTAAACTGATCACATGAAAATTATCCTCAAATTTCACCATTCAGAATTGTGTACCATATTAAGTCCAGGTGGATACCAAGAGGGGCCTCTATGTATGAGCCCACATTCCTAAATTACTTTTTTCAAATTTGACCTTGTTTTTTTTTTTTTTTTTTTTTTTTTTTTTTTTTTAAATGAGGACACAAGGCGTCTTCAGCCCGCGTAGCAGTCAAGGAGCATGCTCCCGTACTTCGTGAAGTATCAGTCCTTATTCAAGATATGGATGGATTTAAGAAATACTTGACCTGTCACTCGTATTTACCAAACTTGGCTGGTAAACATTTTTAACATCGATGTGCTGTGCTGGCTAAAATCGACCCTTATTCGTGATGCCCCTCAATTATTAGAGAGCCCTAATTCACTCTATTCGAATAAATACCTTCCTTTTGAAATATCTCCTCAAGGATAAAAAGCAAGCTCTTCGCAACTTCCATAAGCCAAAGCATGTCAGTTGGAACCACACCTCAGTCAATTACGTCGAGATAGAAGAGCCACGGAAAGTATTCGGCTGGTTTATTTAAGAATGCCGTATGAGCCAACAGGCATTGCCAAATTTCCTTCGGAAAATCAGGAAATTCCAGGGAAATTGTCGATATTTCTCTTCCGATTTTCCACGGGATCTCCCACGTAATTCTATCTAAAAATTCTGAAAATTTCAAGAAAAAATATTCATAACTTTCTCAAAAAATAAAGATTTTCTGAGAGGGTATTTGGCAACATTTGAATGTTCATACGGTCTTTTTACTCAGCACGGTAGATTTTGGCTCGTTACTCAGCCCCTCCTCTCTGTTGAATCGGCGTGTTTCCTTTTCCTGCAAAACGAGCATTACCTTGTCGGTAAAAAGAAACACCATTTTCCGAAGCTATAACCTCGCAAGATCTTTTCCGTTTGAACTCTGGAATAAGAGTATTCTTACGGACCACGCGGGTCATGCAAAAACGGGTCGGTTTGATTCTTACACCGACCAATTGGTTTGTGTACGAATCGTGCCTCGAAGTGGGTAATGCGGCAGCTAGCGGGCTCGAATCACTTTTCACCGAGGTTGAACTGCTGTTTACTAACACCGCTGGATGTTAGGTAAGCACAAATAAAAGCACTGTAAACTTGAGTCACGAATGAAAGTGCTCTTGTGTGCTTGACTCGCGAGGAAAACCGGCGAACTGATAATCGTAAGCGTCCAACTAATGGTGTGGAACAAGGAGGAGTCTATAGTAATTTCCTCCTGGTCGTTTTTATAGAGAGCAGCAGTCTCTCATACAAATCCGTACCTTAGGAATTTTGCAAAAAGCAGTGTATAGGAATGGGTATACGGTGATAAAATATGTACTGAAAGGCCAAAAGTTCAAAAATTTGATGTCTTCGATTTTGCGGGATGCTAAGCTGCACTGAAGACCCACAAATAACCCTGGTAAAAATTGGCAGTAGAATCTGTGTTCCAAAATACCATAGACCTAAAGCCGGCTGTAAGATTTTCAATAGCTTCTGTAGCCGGCTGTACAATTTCTTATAGCCTTTTATAGCCGATGGCGATTAAGCAACAGCCAGACGATAAAGTTTATGCTAAACGTTACTAAATAGGGATACTAGGACTTAGTGAGTTTTTGGACTACCGCTCTCTTTTTGTGCCGTATTGTCTTGATATATTTTGCGAGGAAAGCTCCGTACTTTTGATGGATGCCTGCCATTCCTAATATGTTGGAGCGCCTTCAGTTTCGTCTGATACTGTGCAATACCTCTGGTGTGAAATAGTTGCTTCAAGCGCCGTGGCAGGCGGGCAGCAAGCGCGAAACACGCATTGGCGCCTACAAACCTAACAGGGATACTTCACGCGTTGCGCAATGCGAGAAGTATCCCTGTTAGGTTTGTAGGCGCCAGTGCGTCGCCGCTCCGCTTTGTGTAAGGCTCTAATATTTAATCTGGCGGAGTCAGCGTTATTCAACTCATGAAATGTTTGCACATCCTGTATGGATCATTCTCATTTTAATTGATGAAAAAAAATATGTATTAAAGAAAAATATAATGTGTGTTTTGTGAATATTAAGGTGGTTCCGAATCAAACTTAATGGTTTCCAAAGCACACGAATTTCTACACAATTTCTTATAGCCTATTATAATCGATGGCAAAAAAGCAACAGCCAGGCGATAAAGTGTAAAGCCCGGCGATAGGAACTATAGCCCGGCTGCATAATTTTTTATCGCTTCGTATAGCCCGGCCGTATGATTTTCTCCGCATTCTACAGCCAGCTATATGATTTTCTGTGGCCTTCTTCAGCCGGCTATAAGAATTCCTATGGTATTTTGAAACGCAGCTCTTATCGCCAAATTTTACCAGGGTAACCATGACTATAGCAGTGATTACCAGAACTCTGGTGATACTTACCATAGTATGGTAGATGCTACCATGGAGTCTGGTGTTTTTTACCTCACTCGAATCACTGTGTCAGAGTGAAGTAAAATCTACTTTATTTTATTTATTTTTTTCAGTGTGCAGCCACTGACGAGTGCAATCTACCGGAGAGGTGTAAAAACTTTAAAAAACGCAAAACGTTGTGGATCTCTTGGCGTGACCTCAGCTTATTACGAGTATTCCAATGCATTTGCCTCAGCTGAACACTATCCCTCCTAGTCTTGTACTGGCACGCATGAGAGCTCAAAACGTTTCACTCTAATTTAAATTTTTGAACTTTTTGGCCTTATTTTCGGGTCTTTTTGCCAACATGATGCAGAAGTAAACATTATTTGCAGCAATTCACCCCTCTATAAGATGATGTAACTCTCAGCAGAGAACGCTCCAAAATGCCGAAAAAACTAAAATTCTTGCGATTTGAAATTTGCACATAAAGAAACGTAGTTTTTGGAGCGTCAATGGTCAATTTCATGGTCAATATGAAATATCCGTATATATAACCTCCCAAATAAATATTTCATAAGAGGATATCTGATTACTGCCGAATGTGTATGCGGCGGTTTTCCTCAGCACGGCAGTTCAGTGTTTGGACTTACAGTCCGAGTGCTTATGTGCTCTCGTGAAACGGTAAGTGAAGCAAGTGCGGGAAATGTCCTGATCTCTTCATTTTGATGTGTAGAAAAAGAATTATGTTGTCAAGCACAAATTTGTGTTGAACCCCTTAAATTCTACATGGCGGCCAAAATGGGGGTCCGAAGATCGAACATTTGTGATATTTGTCCTTGATGTCGTATTGAGCTCTACTTTAACGTAATTTTGGTAGTAGAAGCCGAATTTGAGGTTCAAAATCTGATCAACACTGATTTTTTGTCAAATAAATTAATGTAAAATATCGATGTTGCACCTGCCTTGGAGCCTTACCAATTAAGAATCGATTCACTGAAAAAATAATTCCGGCTGTGGAAGCCGTACTTACGGGCTATATAGACATATCGTCCGCGTTCCGGGCTCAGAGGCCGGAGCAGTCGAAGCTACGGCTTCAGCACTCGGAACTTTCGGCCTCTGAGCCTGGAACGGACGGTATGTCAATACACCTCTAACCTTCATTTTTCAGTGCTGTTTTACATACTTGAAATGGAAGAAAAAACAGTATTTCCAACTTTCAAGAATTGCCACTGGTTTAGAACTATTGGCCGTCGAATTTGGCAAGCTTGTAAAGCTAGACTGCAGATGAGGCCCATACATTTCGTCTGTGTTTGCGCATCTCTGCACTGCTGGCGCTGGAATGCCATTAAGTTCCTCAGTGGCGTGGCGTGCTTTGCGATACATCGATTGATCTGCCATTTAAACCCACGAGGAAACATCGATAAACACGGTGTTCGCAACGAACACCTTAATAATCGATTTTTTACCATAGCTTCAAATGGGGAAATTTCGAGAATGGATCACTCACGCCTCGCCATTAAGTTCGTGTGCCTCAATTACTTCATAACGGGGCCGGCTACGGCTAGGTTTGATGGACTCTCCGGTTGCCAGCCTGCATGTCCGTTGCTAGAACCTCGATTTTGCCCCTAGCAGCCATTCTCGTCTGCTGTATGCTAAGAAAGAACGTCGTATGATAATTCGAAAGGGGCCAAATTTTTGCTGATCAAAATCGAATTTTTTCCATTGGCGGATCTAGCAAATTGGCAACATTGTTTTTTCTTCATTTAAACGTATGGAAATATATCGATCCTTGGAAGGGCCAGGTACTCCGATAAGAATCGATTGCTTAGCATAGGTTTAAATGGAGGAAATACGGTGTTGCCAAATCGCTGGATCCGCCTCTGATTTTTATGAGCGACTTTTCCTCCATTTGTGACAGGATCTGTGAAAAGGGCACTTATCCGATAGCGAGTAAATTAGAATAGATGTATGTATGTATAAAGTCGCTTTTATAGCGCTCTTTGGCGCTCTGCGACCCCTAGCCGCCAAAGTCCCCTATCCTCCCAAAGCCCTTCAGGGAGTTGACAAACCCTCATTTCTTCAAAAATCCCCTGTCGCCACCCTTTCACTGGGCGTCCCCTTCGTCTCCTTCCAGGAGGAACCCAATCAAGCAACTTCTTTGGCAGCCTTTCGTCCGTCATTCTATTGACATGACCATACCAGACAAGCTGTCTGGTCATGACGTCGAATATGATGTCATTTTCGACTCCCATGATCTGACGCACTCTTTCATTGCGGACCCGATCTCTCCTAGAAATTCCAGCAGACCTCCTCCAGAAATCCATCTCCGTTGCTCTTAGCATCCCCTTTGTCCGCTCCTTCAGCTGCCAAACTTCACATCCATATGTAAGAATACTCTTGACTACAACGTCGTAAATTCTCCTCTTGTTCTCCTTGGAAATCCGAGGGTCCCAGAGGATTCCATTTAACATCGCTGGAGCCTTCCTTGCCAGGGTGTTTCTTTCCTTAATCGCTTGATCAGTTCTTCCATCCTGGGTCAACCGCACTCCCAAGTACTTATAGTGCTCGCAGCCTTTGATCTGCTGCCCATCCTCCAACTCAATGCTTTGCTGATCACCGCCAAAAGTCATCTTCTCAGATTTGGATATGCTGACTTCCAGACCCCACTTCCGATACTCTTCTACTAACTTGCGCATCATGTATTCCGCGTCGTCTTGATCTTGAGCAACCACCACCTGGTCATCAGCAAAGCACAGAGTGAACAGAGTTTCAAGATCACCCAAGGGGACACCCATACCAGAACATTTCTTTTTCCATTCTTTTAGCACGCACTCGAGATAAATTTTAAATAATGTTGGCGACAAACAACATCCCTGTTTTAAACCCTTAGTAACATAAAATCCCGCTGACAACCCCCCATGGCACTTAATTTTGGTAAAACTCCCTTTATAAAATCGCTTAACAGCGTCAATCAACCCCCCGTTAAAATTCGATTTTTCCAAGGCCTCCCAAAGTTTCACCAACGGCACACTGTCATACGCCTTCTGGAGATCCACAAAAATTAAATGCAGCTCCTGAGCTACGGCCATTTTCTTCTCAATGACCTGGACAATAACAAAGAGGTGATCTATCGTAGACCTGCCAGCTCGAAAACCAGCCTGCTCCTCTGCTTCGTGATCTTGCCATTCGTCCTCGATCTTCGCTTTCAGTATCTTCCCGTACACTTTGCTTATTGTCCCGGTCACTGAGAGCCCCCGGTAGTTGTTACAATCGTCCTTCCTTCCCTTCTTTTTGTAGATGGCCTTGATCCAGGACTCCTTCCACTCCCCTGGCACCTCGTCACCCCTAATGCATTGCTGCATCAGCTTTCTGAGGCACTCGAAGAGCTTAGAAGTCCCGCTCTTAACCAACTCGACAGGGATTCCACCTGGACCCGGTGCTTTGCCATTTTGCAGCTCTTTGACCGCTTTAATAATGTCACAAGTGTGAATCTCCAAGTTGTTCATTCTTCCGTTGTCCGTGCTGCTGTCTCGAAACTCTGGGCGCCTTTCCGTCAAAAGATCTTTAAAATGATCCTCCAGTTTTTTAAGTGATATCGGAGACAAGATATCCCGCTTCATGTCCCTGCGTAAACCTTTAATTAGCTTCCAACTCTCGGCACTTTTTCTTCCCCCTAGGTAGGTGTTGATTCGATTACAGTTGCTTTCCCAAGCTTCATTTTTCTTTCTTGTTATGAGGCTCCTGACTTTAGACTGAGCTTTCCTGTACGCAACTTTATCTTCCGCTTTCTTAGACGACAAGAAAATTTGATGTTTTTGCCTCTTCAGATTAATTTCGTCTTCTATTTCTCTATCCCACCAGTACGGGCGCTGGTCTTTATGACTGGGCTTGTAAACACCTAGGGCTTCTTTTGCAGCAGAGTGGATGCATTCTTTAATAAATTGATATTGTTCTTCCGTGGTTCCAGATGATCCGTCCCCCAGCTTCTCATCCAAGCGTTGCCTGTACAGTGCCTTAACGCTGGGGTGCTCCAAACTTTCAATATTATACCACACTTCTTGTTCTTGTGATCCCTGCCTCTGCTGTTGTTGCTGCATTGGCTGTTTGTCCTTACTGCCCTTAACAGGGAACGCTACATCTGCCCGGAGGAAATGATGATCACTGCCGCAAGAAAGTCCCCTGTAAACTCGTACTTGCTGCACTTTCAATTTAGTTGCCTGCCTCACTATCACGTAATCAATGATGGATTTCAATCCTCGAGTAGGCTGGACCCAGGTGTATTTATGGATGTCTTTGTGCTGGAAAAAACCATTCAGAATTTTCATCTCCATTTGGGAACAAATATCGATGAGCCGATCTCCATTATCATTAACAGCATCCTCCCCGAACGGTCCAACAACTTTGCAGTTGCCTCGTCGTCCCGTTCTGCTGTTCAAATCACCCATAACAATTACTTCCCTGTCAGCTGCCACCTTCGTGATTTCCTCATCAGATCTTCAAAAAATTGGTCCTTAACTGCGACAGTTGCATCATCATTTACTCCATACACCCCGAACAGCGTGATTTTATGACCGTATAAGTTCAAGTTCATCTTAATGATGCGCTGGTTGACAGCCTCCCAATTAACAACAAATCTGCGTAGACTTTTCCGCATCATTATGGCTACCCCTTGCCGCGCCCGCTGGTCTTTGGGCACGCCGCTGTAGAACAGATCATAATCCTCGTAATTTTCGGAACCCTGTCCTTTCTTTTTAGTCTCAGTCAAAACAGCAATATCCACTTGATGCTCTTTGATCTCCGATATCACTTCCGGTAATTTTCTTAAAATGCCTTGGACATTCCACGTCCCAAATACCATAGTCCTTTTTCGTAATTTATGTCGTAAAATCCGTTTTTTATCATGGGCACCGAGGCTTTTTTGGCTAGGTCGTTTAACATTTTTGATTTTTAACAAGTACCGAGGAGTCAGCCCGATGACTCAACCCCCAACCTGGAGGACCAGCGTTTGAATTCGGAGTGCGCTCTCCTAGATTGGTTGCCTTCACTACGACTAAGAGCCCAATCTACCCTTCTCTGGGTGGTTCATGCGCCTAGAAGCCGGTGACCAACTCCAAAAACCCCTTTGAGGCAAGGGCTACCAGCTGGGGTCCGCAGGATTGCTAAACCTGTGACAGTACAGTCCCCCATACGGTAATTAGAATAGATTAATCAGGTTTTTCTTCCAATACAGGAGAAGTTACACAATCTTAGCAACATTGCATTCCTCCTGGTTCCTTTTTGCAAAACGCAATCCAATTTATATCAAGTTTTACCTAATATGTTGATGGACGGAAAAGGCGAGATGCGATGGGGTCCGTTGCGATGCTGCCAAGTTTCGTGGAACAGTTCTTTCACAAAAATCAGTATTAAATGGGGATGTACAAGCAACGATAACACAGGTTTGTTGTAATGGACCACTAGACAAGGTACGAATTTGAGCATTCTGATACATGTTTCTTAACCAAAATTTTACGTAGAACACGATTCTTACAACAAAAATTACTGAAACCAGCTTTTAACGAAGACATTTACGTTTTTATTTCACATTGTTTACGAGGAATTTGAACTGCCCGCTCACAAAAAACTCAAAGCTCTACGTGAGTCAAATCGCGCACTACAACGGTTTCAGCAAGCTTCTCAATCGAGCAATTTTCATTTCCCACCATGTGTAGTTCAAACTATAAGCAATTTGCTACAGCTGAGCCAAAACGTCAAGATTGAAGTCGCCAGATTTTTACATCGCAGAGACTGTCATGATAACGTTTAGCGCGCGATGTGATTCACGTAGAGCATTGAGTTTTCATAAGCGGGTAATTTGAATTCACACACTAAGAATCATTAAATATCTTCTGAAGGAGTTGATTTCGGTAATTTTCGTTGTGCGCATCGTGTTTTACGTAAAATTTTGGTTAAGAAACATGTATCAGAGTGCTAAAATTCGTACCTTGTCTAGTGGTCCATTGCTCCACAGGTGATTTCGAGTCGTTACATTTTTTTTTTTTTTTTTTTTTTTTTTTTTTTTTTTTTTTTTTTTACACTACTTCAAATACCACACAAGTGGTAATCATAAAGAAATATATAGCGAATGAACATTGATTAAACTGAACTTACTAAAGATCAGCGGTGACGTAAATCTGCCGTCTAATATTACCAATATAGGTACTGCATGCGTTTGAATAAAATGGGGCAACTTACCTCTCGGATTAACGTTAATATTACAGTCTCAGCATGCGACTGTACATACACTTTGTGCGACTATGTGATATGATTTCAAGTATTCATGTATGTTAATTTTTCTAGAGGTGAGTGCTAACATGATGACAGTATGAATAATAAGACGAAACAAAGTAAACAATCGCGAAAGGATAGAGCCCTAGAATGATTTCCTAGACCCATATTTTCGATTCAAAATCTGTTAAAGTTTGAGCGACGGATCAAAGCTATGTCCATTAATTTGTACTTGATTTTTTTTCTTGCCCGATTTTAGGAACAATTTCATTGAGGAGTCTACGATCAAGTATCTCTCATGGGAGAGAGGCTGGCTGTCCAAAGATAAAAAATTATCTGAACACTGACTTTTTTATATATTTATTTATTTACTTATTTTTTTGGGGGAGGGGGTTTACAGGTCATGAGAATTTTTGGAGTTGGGTAGATAAATAATGTAAATTATCTGCCGTAATCCCTTTCCCCAAATTCCTTCAAAAGCCTCCCCAAGCCCCCCAAATCCCCTTGTGCATGGCATCCTCTGCAGTTATTGGTTCGCTCGCACGTCTTCATTAAATCGTGAAAGTATGTCTTACATTTCGATTTTCAATTTTTTTTTTATTTTATTTCTTTTCTGCTGGTTTTATGGCTTTGTGCCCAGCACCTTCAGCCAATTTTAGACTATGTTTATTGTCCGTGGACATCGAGGGATTTTAGGTACATCCACGCTCCAGGCTTTTCAAATTTTCAGGGATCAGGGCCGAGTAGAATCTGTTTCAGTAGATCTACTCGTCAATTCCGTGAAAATTAGACGCCATCCACCACCGGGATTCGAATTTTTCAATTCAAATAATTAACATTAAGTTCAGTATTTCCTGTGCGTCAGTCTAGACCGTAAAGTTTTAGGTGGGGAGTCCACTTCGTTGGTGCGGCGACTACTCTTGCAGTGTGGGTTTCCTTACGACCTCACTTTAAGGTCAATTCCTCCTCAATTGGACCCACGCAACCACGTTGCTAAGTGAACCTAAAATTAAACACGAAAGCAGTGATACAGCGTATTTTTCAAAGGAAGCTTTGAAATAATAAGTGAAGCTTTTTCAGTATAGTTGACTCGTCATTCTGTAGTCCCTGATACTGCCTTCCTAGGGAAGAACGCCGTATAAGCCTTCAGGCGTTGCCATATTGCCTTCAATAAAACAATAATTTACGGGACATTTCTTTACTAATATTCCTCTATCTCTTCAGGCAATTTTGTTGACGATTTAATCTATAAAACATCAGGAAATTTCAAGGAAAAATATCTCAAGGAAGAATAACTCTTCAAATCCACGAACTCTCCTTGTTCCTTCCTTTTTACATGCCTTAAGTACATTATAGAATTTTAAAATTTTAAAAATTCTATGTTTTATGACGCGCTGAAAATTTCACGATAAATGTACTTTTAGAATCTTAAACTAGTTTAAAATACTATTGTATGCTGCATATTTTTACGGAGAATTCTTTCCTACTGGAGCAACGAATTATTTTGTCTCATGAAATTAGCGTAAAAAATCAAATTTTCAATGTAAGTAAGAATATTTGACTATCTGACTAGGCATTTGACAAAATGCCTGATTTGCCTATTTGACTACTGACTCGTTTTTGCCACTAAAGCAATCAAAAGAATGAGGCGCCGTGGTGTTGTTTTTCTAAGAAACCTGACAACACCCATCTCTCCAACTCCCCCTTCGTCAAAAGTTGTTGGGAGTGGGTTGGTCCACCGCTTGATCAAATACGGCTTAAGCTGTGCTGTCCAAGGTGGTTGCGTAATCTAAAAATATGAATGAACGAATCCGTGAATGAATGAGACTGATTATATATGCGTTTGCTCGTAAAGGATAGTAAGTGTTGGTGCGAGAAATTCCCGTCTCCTGAGCGGTCCCGGTTACCTATAAAAGAATCATGGTATGTTGATGCAGGGGTATAGAATACTGACCCTCTGTCCCATTTTATGAGTATTTGGGAATTGCGGTATAGGTGTTTACTAAAGTCGAACATGAAGGAAAGAAAGCCGATCAACTCCTTTTTGAGGAGCTTCAAACTCACAAGTTGCTTCAAAACACGTTGCAACACTTCAAAACGAAAGTTCAACAGCATGTAAGTCGATCGAGATGTGTTAAAATTTCCGCTGATATCTGATGTATTTCTAAGGAGAGGATAATTCAACTCTTCTTTTTAAATTCTGAAGAATAATCACTGCGAAGGGTGAAGGATCAGTAATAAAATATTTCATGAGAAAAAATCATAAATGGTTTACCTTTGAAAAAATTAAATATGCCGAGAGGGTAATGTCGCAAATTAAAATGTGTTTTTTCTGATTTTGACTGTCACCTCTTAATTGAAAACAGTATAACCCCGACAGGGCCGGATTTACTAACTTGCCGCCCATGGGACGCTAGTATTTTGCCGCTCCCTTCTCATTCGTTTTGAAACATTAATGAAAACCATCAAATGAACGTGCCAGCGGGGGAGGGGTGCATAGGACGCGTTTAGTGGTGTTGAACACATTTTTTGGGAAAACCCTGTCAACACTACTATCAAAAGTTCACGGAACTTTGCGCGCAAGTTAAATTTCGTAAATCTATCTCTGTGTGGACGAGGCCTTCCATTCATAAGAAATGAACGAAAAAATTATGAAAGAACAAACATAAATGCGGATTAATGATTTTAACTTCCGCCGCCGCGCCTCGCAGACCGCACTGTGTTTGACGCAATGCGTGAAGTATTCACGCAGTCTTGTAGGCGCTATGCGTCTCCCGCTGATCGCACCGTGTTTGCCGCAATGCGTGAGGTATTCATGCATTCTTGTAGGCGCTATCCGTTTCACGCTGTCCGCAATGACCGCACCGTGTTTGATGCAATGCGTGAAGTATTCGTGCAGTCTTGTAGGCGCTAATATGTGTCACATGCTGACCGCCGTGCCGAGGGCTTGTCCTTTTCATCTCAAGTCCTCATCATCATTTCTCTCTAGGTAAGTCGCGCCGTGCCAGGCCAAATTGCGTGTTTAGTTTCTCTCTTAACTCGACTAATTAAAGGTGCTGCCTCTTGTATCACTAAAAGACGACAAAAGTAGAAATTAGAGATCTCAGAACTCTCAAGTACTCTCAGAAAATTAGAGATTTTGTCGCTTTTTCTCGTGTGTAATTTTTCTTCTAACCCC